GGGAAAGAGGGCAGCCTGTGAACTCAGCATAAGACTGCACAGCCCCAAATGGCCAGGTCTCCAGAAGACCAAGCCTTGCTCCTTAATCCAAAAATAGCAGCACCCTCCATCCCTAAGAAATAAATGGGCCGCCTTATAAAAGGGCTACTCCAGAGGTAGAGACTGTTCCAAATCATATTTGGAACTCTCTCTCTAAGCCAAGTATCTTCCTCAGTTTTGTTTTAGATCTTTGTGTATTGACACAACCTGGCAGTTGGATGCTGCAGGATTGCGTGGCTTGGCCAGTTAACACAGATGTAGGTTCAGGTTGAAAAGCTGAAGGTCAGGAATTTGTCTTCCATAAGGATATAGGCATGCCCTGTCCCTCCACAGCAAGATTTCAGAGTATAGGAGGACTTGACCTCCTGCTGCTTTGTCATTCCCATGCTGGGATAAGTGATCCCAGTTGCCAGGGCAGTTAAGTCAACATCTTTGTCCAGTGGTATAGGGGTCCCTGTAATCCTGGCATTTGAGAGAGGCTCAAGCATTTGCTTGAGAACACACAGTTCTTTGCTGGTCTCAGCTTAATAAAAGACTGAAGAAACAGGAAGCAGAGAGGAAATGCCTTCTGCAGAACAAGATGGCTCCTCCTTACTTTACATCTTCTCCATGCTCGTCAAACACTACGATCTCATCCACGCAGAAGATGGCACAGGCCCGAGCAATCTGTCCAGCGAGGTATGTCCGCAGCTCCAGAGACTGGGCGTTGTTCAAGATAGAGCCTGGCAGGGCTACGCTCAGCGTGTAGTGACGCCCTGGGGAACAGAGTGCCATCAGACGAGAGCCACAGCGCGACAGCAGCACGTACAGCATTTTATTTACTGCTTCAACTGCAGTTGTGGTGGGAGAAAAAAAGCAACCTCTGTTTCTTAGATTTTAATCACAGGTTTTCTCTTAAGAAAAGTCTGTCGTGCACTGCTCGCTGCATTGTGCTCGTGCCTGTTGATGCACGTGGATTGATCTGTATCAGACCTGCGAAGCGTCACCTTTCCTATCGACAGGTAAAACTGATTTTTAACCACCAAGTCCCTCCAGTTTCAACCCAGGCCTCCCCACCGCCTCACAGCGGCATCACCTTTGTCCTCCGTCTGCTCCTCCTGCTGCTCGGCTTGTTTTTCTGCCAGCTCCCGCACCCGCTGTTTTTCCAGTTTCCTCAGTAGCTTCATTTCCTTCCACTTTTTCTTCTCCGCTTTCCCTGGAACGCAGAACGGCCTCTCGCTTTAAACACCGAGCCGTGGGCCCTCGGAGCACGAGGG